ACAAGGCAATGCCAAATGGGTAGATCCACATGCAAATAAAAATGTGAACTTGGGTAGGGATATAAAATACAAATTCCTTTTGAATTTTCTATAGTTTATATTCTTTGCTCTTCCTCTCTACTCTTCCCTCCTTGGCAACAAGTTGCTTCCATTCAACATTTACTAATTACATGAGAGATTTCATGCAATAAGGTGATAACTTCTCAGAAGCATGTATCAGCCCTTGCTATTTCAGTCAACCAGTTTTATTGAGTCTTCTTTGTGAAAATAGCCCTAGATTGAGTCATACGCTATTTTTTCTGTTCTCTTCTTGCTTCTGTTAAATAAACACCAAGTCCCTAAAATCAAAGTAATAACTGTAATAACCCTTTACCTATCTACATATATGAAAATAATGGGGAATTTCCTCCTTTAGGTGATTTCTAATTTTTGAAGTAGCCTGCATAATCACACTTCATGAGAAGGCAGTGGGGTCCAATGCAAAGAGAAAACATTTTAAACTAGAAAGCCTAAGTTTTAATTCATCTAACAGCTCAATTCACTTGTTGGGCGACTTTGGGAAAGCTCACTTCTTTAAGCCTTAGTTTCCTCCTTGTAAACATGCAAATAACAATACCTTACAGGGATACTGTAAACATTAAATAAGAGCTAACTTAGGCTGCTCCAGGCTTTGAGTACACTCTGAAGTAATGTTAATTCCCACTTCCTTTCCTTCAAACCATTAATGTTGGTGTTATTATTTGGGTCAGGCATAAGACACTGAACTTTGCAGCTTTCTGAGATGTCTGTGCTGCCCCAAAATAGAATCTGAGTGGAATCACCCACAGCCTGGCATATTGGCATGTAAGATATTCAGTGCTAACATTATGAAGAAAGACTATTCTAACAGCTATTTTCCTACCCCTAACTTGCAAAACATTATTGACCCCTATTAATGTACTGAGAAATAACACCAAAGCATTTAAATTTACTTTCAAAAGAACAAAGCTCTTAAACTGTCTCAGCAAAGTGACTATCATAAATAGAAACAAAAAAAGTAAGTCTGTCAAAGCGATGATACCTTCCAAAGCCCTACCTTTCAGCATTAATGCCTAATGACTCAGTCTACATAACAATTCACGTCCTTGGCTAAAATATTGCTGATAGAGTGTACCTGAAAGCGTTTGCTTTTTTCCTTCTATATTTTCTCTTTTGTTTGTTTACTCATACAAAACAATGTCAGGGCTGGTTTTGGTCAGAAAAATTATAAACTTAAAACTATTTTTAATACTAAGAGACAGTACGTTTTATATTCATTTCATCCTTAATTTTTTTCAGAAACACCTTAGAAATGTGAACATTTAAATATTTGCAGTGGTTAAGAGCACAGACTTATATTTAACCATAGGTTTAATTCTGACTTGGTCACTTACTTGTGAGACTTTGGGCAAGTTTCTAACCTCTTTCTAAGCCCTAGGTTCTCACTGTAAAATGAGAATTATACCTAGTTCATAGATTGTTGAATACATACATAAAATAAAGTGTCCATAAAGAGCTTAGCATAGTGTCTGGAACATAGGTAAGGAATGTTAACTTATTTCTGCTGAGATGATAAATTTATGTGCATGTTAATATAATCATTACATTAATGTGGTAAGAAGTGGGAACCAACCGCACACCCCAAAATTACATAGTTAATACTAATTGCCTTGATTTGCTTCAGTAACTTAATCTTAATCATTGATACTCTTTTAAAAAATTCTGGGAACAGATTTTCTTGCTGGAAATAATGCTTTCTAAAAAGTGTAAACTTGATAAGTCCTCCATATCCAGAGCACAAGTGAGGAAGCTATATTGTGTTTTCATGGAAACAATATAGTAAAACTTTAATCTAATTACCCAGATATTGAGGGAACATACATTAAATATTACAATAATTGATTTTTCCCCATATATACTTCAATAAGCATATTGACCATATTCTCTGTTTTGTAACATACGAAGATATTTATACATGTTATATGCATCCTATGTGTGGACATTTTGTGCATTCCTTATCCTTTATTCTGTAAAATTTCATCATTATTATCCTTTTCATCTAATCTAAGGAGAGAGCAAGATAGTTTATTTCCCTAATCATCTTAGTCATTATCCACCCCCACCATCCATCCAGGCTAAGATCATCGTCCAGACTGAGTTATTAAAGCTGATTTGAAAGAGCAGTCTGTTCTAAATGACTGTCCCTGAATCTGCCACAGAACCCTGTAAATACCCTTCATTACTCTGGCAGGGCAGTATCACATTTCCTTCATGCTACTTTTGTGACTGACACAAGTTAGGCAGTGAGATTTAGACTTTGGATGATCCTGGTTGATTGATAGAGGAATGGTGCTTCTCCTGAGACAGGTAACCACAAATTTGCTTTTCAGGATAATGTTTTAAAATAGGTATTCTGTTTAGTTTTTTTAATGTTTTTGGTTTCTAAGACTAAATAAGTTTGAACTTACAGCTTTTTTTAATGTTTTTAGTTTTAGTTTTAGGCAAGTGTTTCCTATACCATTTAGATGAAAAGGAAATTTATTAAGGATTTAATTGTATTTCTCAATTACATTGTCTCATGGACCTTGTATAAGAACCTCCATAACCCACTTACATATATTGTTTTGAATAGTCAAGAACTTGTCTCTGATGTATTTTTCTCATTAACAAAGGTTAGAAAATAGATACACATCTCTGTTCTTTAAAAATAAGGTATGGAGGGATTTTCTTATCATTTAATACTGGAAAGGGATACCTCAATATAAAACTATGAACTTTAAGCAAAATGTATTGACACTTTGGTATACATGAGCAATTTTTCTTAAAGAATTAAAATCTATAGCAATATGGAGAAAGAGCAAATACAAAAATTTTTATGCATCTGCTAGCACAGAAATTCTTGTATGCTTATCCTTCAAGTGAAGACTTCCTGTCATAGTTCTTTCAGATTCCTTGGCATTCCTGTGGATCATCCCAATGTGAGTAAATTGTTTCTATAGCTGAGTGACTGAATTAAGAAAACAGCTGAAGGCAAGCACAGGATCATGTTCAAACCACAATAAACACATGTGTTGGATGGGTCACTCAACTTTATGGGGAAGGCTTAAGATATGTAACCTGTGTTTACTTGTCACATATGAAATTTCTTTTTAACTGTGTTGAATACACTTTTTTTAAGCTTTAAAAATTATTCTTTGTACCAGTAAACCATTAAAATGTGATCTAGTAGGCCTGTGGTATAATGTTTTTACATTTACTACAATGATATGCAGGGTAGGGACTATGTTACTTGGGAACAGAAACTAATTTTTTAAAAAGCTAGCATCTAGAATATAAGTTTGATGTATGGTAAGCAATGCATCATATATCACATAACAACTGTTGAATATTATTCATTTACAGTATTTATATCCAGCTTTTTTTTCAAAGAGCTAAACAAATTGTATATGCTATCTATATTTGAAAATGTTATAGAAAAAGTGAGAAGAAAAAGATTACTGTATCCAGAAAGTCTGGCTCTTTCTTCTATAACTCTTTTTTGCATTTGAAGCCTATATTAATTCTTTCTGTTGATTCCTAATTCCACTGCTCAACCTTCCCTTTATCTTTCAGCATGGTCTCCTCCCATCTCAGTATTCTATACCTGGGTGAAAGGTAGGATTATCATGGCACAGTTTTACAGGAAGTAGAAATGTATTCACTTACAGTGTGTGTATGTATTTCACTTTGGAAAATCAAATTGTAGCATATCTATTTCTACCTGACAAAAAAACGTTCCACTCTCCCATGTGCCTACCCAAGACCTTGCAGCACTCATATTGATTAAGCCTTAAGATCAGATGGGATTCTGGGGGAAGACCTTCTCTTTAAATAAAAAGAAATTGTTGGAGCACATACAGAAATAGAAAATGCAGAAACACAATAAACAGTGTCAAGATTACTGAAAAAGGTAAAAATTTCTTAGGAAATTCCATAAAGTCAGGACTTACATATACTTTATGCACTTCTTTATACCCAGAGTCTGGTATATATAGGCATTAGGTAAATAGTTGTTGAATGAATGAATGGAAAGAAATCCTACAAGCAGCTGTGTGATTTAATTAAGAAAGCTAGATTTAAACCAAGGTATTTCACCCTATCCAAATCTAAGCATGATCCTTAAAAAAAAAAAATCAATGGGATTTATCTGAATTTGCAAATCCAGGCTTCTAGCAAGGTTAATGATGTCTAGCACACTTCATCTGTAATGTAGTTAACTTTTTATTCCAAATTCATATTCTAAGAATGTACAAAATTAATACAAAAGAATCTACTTTGACAGAGTAGGGTTTTGAACAGATGTTGATTTGGTTAAGAATTCTTTTTTTATTGATTGGTAATACTTGTGAAAGAAGACATCTGGTGCAGACCCCTTCAAACTAACATACAAAAAAGTTAGGTACTAGTGCATGAAGAAGAGTTGTAACATAATATAGTAATAATTCTGACCTTTAAACAGTTTCTGATTTGTTTTTTTCTGAAGACATTTGTTCAAACTAATTTGTTACTGGGTTTATTCTCAGGCTGATGGTTTTTTCCCCCTCCATCTTTTCTGTGATCTCTAACAACTTTTCGTGTTAGTTATCTCTGCTTTTGCTTGGCCTTTGGGCAAACAGTTTGAAAACTCTCAGCTTTAAAATGGTAGAGCGCAGCCTCATACTGGCTTTTTATAATAAAATTTCCTAAAATGATTTGCCATTAATTAAAGTTAAGGCCCTTAAAAATCAAGAATTTGATATATTTTTTAAATAATGATATTTTTCTTTTACAGATGGAATGTGGTGGAATGAATTTAGTCTTTATCCCAAACATAAATTAGTAAATGATTTAGGCCTCTAGCTGTAAGTGAAATTCTATAGGTAGAAAAACTGATTGACCCCCACCACCCATAGGTGCTGTCTTGCTGTGGAATCCCTTTGCTCTGTTTTCTCCTGTCCAATCAGGTGGAATGTTTCACAGGCACATGGTTTATACAGCTCAAAATAACTTGGGACCTGTGAGCTGACAAATGCTCTGGCTTCGGTGGTGACAGGTTGTCCAGCTTCTTACAGCCATCTTCACTGAAACTAAGGTTAACTCCTCACTCTCTATGGACGGCTGCTCTCTATTCCCAAGGACGTGAAGAACTTTCTTTTTCTCCTCTGCTTTCATCTAAAAGTTCTCCTTGGATAATTATCATCACAGTGGAGTGCCTGGGTTGGACATCTTCATCTGGGTCAACTAAAAAAAGAAAGGTAATATCCATATTTAAGTTCTCAAGTGTGTTTTGATAACAGGGCACTGACAATGGAAAAGGGATATTTCAGAGACCTAGTCACTGTTGTTTAGAGTGAAACCAAGAGTAACTTTCTAATTATGTATGATGGAGCACAAAATTATGTGAAAAATGAAGTTTTCTTCATATAAGGTCTTGGAGGGGATTGATGAGACTCATAGAGATCACAGCTTACTTGGGTCCTATGGGAAAATATCTCAACAGAGGGAGTCATAACATGTTGTATATATCATTGGCATTTTCCACACATTCAGTTATTAAAATAACGATGTTTGTATAGAGAACATATGCGGCACCTATTTCCTTTTTAAAGGATATCAAATCTAAAATAATATGACTCTATGGTTAAAGACTTTCATTTAAAAATTTTTTATCATGTAAAAGGATATGCTTGCTATATTTAGTGTTGGGAGATCTGCTCCCTGGATTAATGTACACAACAGCTGCAGAAAGTCTTGCTCAAAGGACATTGCTTTTTCTTTCTCCTTTCTCTCCCCCTCTCTCTCTCGCTTTCTCTCACTCCCGTTTCAGCTACATCAGAAAGACACTTGACAGTCAGTGGCAAGTGTTTGGCCTGGTAGATTGCACTATTAGCAGTAATTAGATGCACATCTTGAATTATATTTAAAAACCTTGTAAGGAAAGAAAAAGAGAATATGGGCTGATTCATATTTCCATTCCCCAAAAGTGAACATTACAGGAATGGTGCTATGAAATTTTATTATCTTATCAAAGGATTTTTATTCATACTTGTCAAAAATACTAACATCAATTAGAGATTGAAAGAAACAAAACAAACTATCCTGTTTTCTTTCTAAAAAAATCATGATTCTATTACATGTGCATTGGGAATGATGAAATTCTACAAACTCTAAAATAAAAATTTGTCATAATTTTTTAGTCTCTCCTTAATAATAATTCTTAAGGTCACATAAAACCCATAATATTTTTCTAGGAAATTGGGAATGTCTATACTTACAGACATAAAAAACATATTTTTTAAAGAAAAATTAAAATATGCTGTCTGACACATGATTTGACAACAAGCAAAATATTTAATATCAAGGCCATCCCAGGAAATCTGAAATATATGCACACTCTACTTACTTTGTCAGGAGACAAAATTATAGGCATTACAGAATCTTATAATAATGGACTATGAAACAAACAGTTGGGCAGTATCCAAATTCTGTAAGTTTGTCTCTATTCCCACTTATAGAATGTGGCTAATCCTATTGGAACTCATAATAATGTGTTAAATACCTAGAGTTTCATATATTTATACTTTAAAAAACACACTCTATTAAATATTTCTATTAGAATGTGTTTTTAAAGGCATGTATTTGGTGGAATGGACACAGAACCACAATTCATGGACTCAAGAAATTGAATGAGTTTTTATCAAGGCTGGTTTTGGAATGCATAGCATGGCTTTTCAAATTACTTTTGCAGAAATAACACAGCAGGTAAATCAGGTTTCATTGTGAAAGGGCCTTAATGAACTAAGGTTCATTATGAAAAGGTGACAGCTAAATTTTTCAACAGCTAATTCCTGTATGTCATAGGAGTAATGAACTCAGCTCACTAACCTGAATATGTAAGATAAATGATACTGCTAACCCCAGAATAATTCGTTTTCTTCATTGTCATTGAGATTTGGCAAAGGCATTGCTTGTTGCATGGTGCTATTCTATTGCCTGTAACTAAACAAAAAGAAAATATTTTCTTTTTCCCTCTCCTAAAAGCTAAAGAAGAGTCAAGCACCATGGAGATGTTTTCTTAAATTTGTGTAGTGCTTTGTAGTTGACAAAGCTGTAAAACGACTAGGGCATTGTGCCTTTGCTTAAAGGAACAATCCAAGTATTAAGTACAGACAGAACAACTCAAGGATAGTATAGGCCAAGTACAAAATTTCTGTTTAGAAATCTAAGAACATATTTTCAGCAGAAACATTTTGGCAGGCACAAAAGTTTGTATGACTATTAACCTGTAGTCACTAAAGAGTTCTTAGAATCCATGTGTAACCAGAGTCACCTTGACAAGCTCAGTTCAGGCGCGGGCTTCGTAGGCTTCCACTTGCAGTCACCATGCACTCCGTGCTCTGGGAGGGGCTCCACAGAGCCTTCCCACCGAGTGCTTGAGCTAGAACTAGATTTTGAGATCCTGAGCCTACTTGGTGCCCTTGCTCCTCTCCCAGTCTAACAAGCATGCTATGTGAACTTAATTAGGGAAATTCGTTTTTTCAAATCCTTAATCACCTAAAGAAAATTGATACAAATATTAAGATGGATGAAATGTTAATTTTTCCTTTATTTTTCCTTTATTTTTCTTATTTAAAATGAATCTTTGAATTCATGGGGATTGACAAAGTTGTCTCATTTGGGATTTCCCAGATAAGAGCTAAGTTCATCGTGAATGGTAAGATCTTGAAAGTGATATAAAAAACCTCATTTTGTACTACCACCAAACCTTTTTGTGGTCCTAGATTCCTGAAGTCTTCTTGCTTGCCTTCCATCAGCCTTTCAGCGGGTTGTAGAATTCCCTTTTACACTATTTCTTTGCCATCTTTCAGATTAAACACTAACTTTGGGCTCTGGCTTCAGTGTCCTTCACACTGGTGCTTGCCTACATGTTTATCCTCTCTGTATACGGAAACATACACAGTATGTATACTTCACAGTAGCCAATCTCTTTTTCTCACACTCAAACTAAATCTTCACTTTCCTTCCTACCTTTGCCAGTTTAATCAAAACAATAATAAGAGAACTGTTTACTCACCGTTAGCTTATCATCTAAATATCTTTTCGTTCCTTTAAACACTCCCTTTAGGACTGTCCTTAATTAAACAGATTCCCACTAATTTTCCTGTGTATCACCTCTGTTCTCTTTATTTCAACATTCTCTTCTAATTTATATATTTGCCTGTATTTGTTTTTATCTGCTGTTTTTCTTTCTTTCAAACTGAAAAGGGAATTAAGAGAATGGGACTTATTCCCATATTGTTACTGACGTATTTCCATATATCTCAAGTTCTTATTCTGATAATGCAATATATACTAAGGTATTCATGGGGATTGACAAAGTTGTCTCATTTGGGATTTCCCAGATAAGAGCTAAGTTCATCGTGAATGGTAAGATCTTGAAAGTGATATAAAAAACCTCATTTTGTACTACCACCAAACCTTTTTGTGGTCCTAGATTCCTGAAGTCTTCTTGCTTGCCTTCCATCAGCCTTTCAGCGGGTTGTAGAATTCCCTTTTACACTATTTCTTTGCCATCTTTCAGATTAAACACTAACTTTGGGCTCTGGCTTCAGTGTCCTTCACACTGGTGCTTGCCTACATGTTTATCCTCTCTGTATACGGAAACATACACAGTATGTATACTTCACAGTAGCCAATCTCTTTTTCTCACACTCAAACTAAATCTTCACTTTCCTTCCTACCTTTGCCAGTTTAATCAAAACAATAATAAGAGAACTGTTTACTCACCGTTAGCTTATCATCTAAATATCTTTTCGTTCCTTTAAACACTCCCTTTAGGACTGTCCTTAATTAAACAGATTCCCACTAATTTTCCTGTGTATCACCTCTGTTCTCTTTATTTCAACATTCTCTTCTAATTTATATATTTGCCTGTATTTGTTTTTATCTGCTGTTTTTCTTTCTTTCAAACTGAAAAGGGAATTAAGAGAATGGGACTTATTCCCATATTGTTACTGACGTATTTCCATATATCTCAAGTTCTTATTCTGATAATGCAATATATACTAAGGTATTAAACTACAAATGCCACTCACACCAAAAACAAACTAGAAATAAAACTAAGATGGGGATGATCACTGTACTAGAGAGGGGATGGAAATTGTAACAATGAAGGATTTATCTCATAGGATATCCCATCTGCAGCCAAATTTTTAGAGGGTGATCTGTACCTAACTCTCCAGGACTAGTTACTGTGTATTGGAATTTGGTTCTCGACCCAGCAAGAGTTTCTCCAATGAGCAAAGGTCATTACATTTTAGGAATAATAATTACACATCAGCAGAAAAGGATTAACTTAGTTTGTATAGTGTCCTACATTTTAAAAGTGCTTTCACAAACAAACGTAGGAAATAAACAGGTTAGTTCTGCTCATCCTCACTTTAGAGGTGAGTTACTTTTCCTATTCCAGCTGTTTAGACAATAAATATTAATTAGGCTATTCTTGTGTTGACCTAGAAGCCAGATTTGTTTTCTCATTTAAGTATCTAAGGATACCTCATAGCCAGAAAATTTCAGTATTTAGGTTTGAATCCAAATTACTTCATGTTAGGTTTTACAGATTTTCTGGTCAATACACCAGTTTATTCATGTTATAACCAAGAGATGAATTTATACCACATGATACTTCCAACAATGAAGTCTTCTTATAGTCACAGAAGAGTAATTATGAGTTAACAGAAGTCAAGACATACGCACAGAGATATCAGCATCAAGTTTTGTTCTTATGAACCAGACTCTCACATTTTCAGCAAGGTCTTAGGGCAGCTCCTATTTTCAGGAAAAAATCCTACAGATAAAAATGGAGATATTTCGCAGAGTAAAGAACTTTTGGTGAGCTTTCTATGTGGCCAAATTAGGTGTACGATTTACTAAAATTTATCTTGATTAGTCATGTCACATTCATTGTCTCATTTCCAACCTATGACAATTTCACCAAAACAGTAATCTGTTTTCAAGGGCAGTTAATTGCTCTTCGTTTGAAACAGGCATAAAATCTGTTTCAATTTTGTAAGAAGCAGAAAAAAGAAACAAAGTCCAATGTCACTCTAACAGCCCAGATGAAACGTCTAAGAGAACTCTTAATTTCCTTTCCTGAAACCCACTCCTGCCTCATCCCAGTAAAGGATTCCACCACTACCCTAATTGCTTAGTCCATAAATATTGGTGTCACTCTTGCCTCTGCTCTTTCTCTCACACCACACTTTCAATCCACCAGCAAATCATACTGGCTTTACTTTCAAAAGATATCAAAAATCTAACCATTTCTCACCATCTCCTACTGCTACCACTCATTGATCCAACCCAGCATCATCTCCTGCAAAGCACATTGCAATAGTCATCTAACTGATCTACTTGGTTTCCACAATTCTCCCCTTCAATTTGAATTCTTTGCAGAGCAGCCGTATTTGAACTTTTTCAAAACCATGTCATCTGTCAGCAATGATGGTGTACAAAAACAAAGTGAAGTAGACAGAAAAGTAAATGGGCAAATTTAATACATTGTAATAAGTGCTGTGCTTAAGAGAGAGGACAGTGAACTTTGTGAGCACATTGACAAGGTGCCCAACCCAGAGAAAAGAAGAAATCAGATCCCAGGGCGATATCTTAGCTAAGAACTGAAGACACTGTAGGACTTGGCCCATTAAGTTAGTGAAGGGATGTGAGGATGGGAAGCAGCCCAAACAAAGAGAATATATACAAAGATCTGAAGGCAAACGGTCCATTCATGGGACAATGTATGTTTCAATAGAATATAGGTAACACTAAATTAACTACAAATCTAGAGTTCAGTTGCTCTTCAGTTTGTCCTTGGAGCAAATTGCTTCACTAGTTCTACTTCACTACTTCAGTTTCTTAGCATGCTATGTGGCTAAGGTTGTTATATAATAATAATAATAAATAATAATAATAATAGTAACTACCATTTATTGAATGTTTACTAAATGCCAAGCATATTTAATTATCACTTCAACCTATAAGATGGCTACTGTCATTATTCCTGTTTTACAGATGAGTAAACTGAGGCTTACAGAGGTTAACTAACTTTCTTGACTTTATATAGCTAGAAAGTGTCAGGATTGGGACCTGAACCAGATCTAGCTAACTCCAACGTATCAGATAATAAATATTATATTAAATCATTAAAGAAATCCTTTATTTTGAATACCTGAAGGTTTTTAAATTATAATAATACTTCTCATGACCATAAGTATCAGAACAGGCATATATTTACACCTTACTTGTGTTCTTTAAAAAAGAAAAAAAAATTAGTTGCAAAAAAAAGTGACTACTTTCTTTTCTATTTCCACTATAAATATAAAATTTTTGGAAGTTCTTCAACAGTACCATCACCTTTACTAAGTATTGTTTTTAACTAACATCTTTTGAGTGTCCATTATAGAGGCTGGTCCTGTTTTAAGGACTTAACATTCATGATATTATTAATCACCACTCTCCTGGGAAATAGATATCACCCATGTTTTATGATGAAGAACCCAAAGCTCAGAGAAGTTAAGCAATTTTTTCAAAGTCATACAACCGTTAAGAGATTAAGCCAGAATTTAAAAACCAGTTTATCTGATTCTAGGGCCAATGCTCATTCCATGTTGCCTCAAGATTAAACCCATCCTAAAATAAAGAGTTAGAGAAAGTTTCATTAAAATATAATATATGGTAATGGTCAATTAATCATAGGCCATTCTGATTTATACAGCACTTAATATTTCCCCTCATATTTAAATATATATAGAAACTCAAACTAGGCTAATGAAACAGTTGATTTAAAAATTAGAAAGATTTTAAATCAGTATACTAATTACATTTTCAAATAGTATTTTGTACCTTATTTCATCTATCTTTAACTGTTCTGTGTAGTTAATGCACAAATGAGAGAAATTTTCAGTAGGTTATCAATTACACTTTCCTATACTATTTCTTGTATCATTCACTGTTCTACAAAATTTAAATAGCCAAATATTTCTATTTAATGAATATATCATTATTTAATTAACTAATATCTTATTGGATATGGGTCCAAATTCTTAATATTACCATCTATACTAAGATGACAAATGTCTTTGTAGACAAATCTTTCAAACCAGTCAACACCTTCACGTTTTCAATTTATCTTTTTTAAGGTGTAATAGACTTCACACAAACAAGTAGCTCCCTCCATTAGTGACAACCTCAGGCTATGGGAACTATGGGGAAAAATACTTTGCTGTAGGTGATCCTTTTAGCCATCTCTTATTGCCCTCTCAAGGTGAATGTCTACTTGGCCACTTTAGACGTAAGTTTTGGATAGCACTCTGAAAGTTTGAGAAATAGGGAAGTTCCTAGGAAATCTTATTTGTGATACGAGTGAGGCTATTATATAAGGTAAAGGACAGGAATGAACTGAAATAAGTTTTGTTATAAAATCTTAAAACCAGAAAAGACTTAGATTACTTTTCCTCTCCATCTTCCCAGCACAAGGCCCAACAAATAGTAACCAAGAATGGCAAATAGTCTTAATCTCCATTATCGTCTCTGATTGATTGGTGGTGGCTAAAGCAGTGGAGTGTTAAAGAAGTCTAGGTCAATGGGAAGAGTACTGAAATCAGTTACATACATCTTTAAAGGAGGATAGAGAGGAGTAACAGATTATGGTTCACACATTTGCCATCCCTCTAGTAAATGTGTGAATGCATAAATGGATATATTTATAATACATATTTGACTTGCCTTACCAAAATCTCTAGTCCAGGGGACTTTGAACTAAAATTATTGTACTATCTTTTTAAGACTTTAAAATTATTTATTTTTGAGTTGGTAATATATTCATACAAAATTGAAAAGTCAGGAAAGGGTATACGGTGAAACAGGGTATAGGTGTCCTGTCTTGCACCTCATGTCCCTGTCTACCATAGGCCCTCTTCACCAACATTAATTTAAGAGATTTTTTTAAACCTAGGCTTTGACTCATGTCTTTGTAGAAATTAAATTAGTTATACCGTATTTTAAAAGACCAAATCATTATAGTTTTCAAGAGCAGGCTGAGTCTATAAACAACACTGAATTTAAACAACTCATCTCTAGTCAAAAAAGAAAAGCATTTATTTTCATGAGCTAAATCAGGTCTACATTTTCAGTAACTAGACAAGATTATGTTGTCAATATCTTTTAATATACATTTTTATTACATTTAAGGTAAAAGGGAGAGGGTAGAGAGAAATCTCTATTTGTATATGAAAGCACTTTATAACCAGAAGCCCTTTACCCATATTATCAAAAGCATGTTTAGAAATTGCTATAATGTTATTATAGTATACCTTTCACAATTGAACTTGTATTTAAAGAATTTAACAAAGTGGCAATCACCCATGTTTTTATTTTCAAATTCAGGGAAATCTCATTCGATTCCCCTTCATTTTACAATTTAAGAATAATCTTGAAGTCTTTAAAGTAAATTTGTAAAGTATCAAAATTAGGTCATTCTTAATTTCAAGCTCTAAATTCTTAAGAATCTGTTATGCTACTATGAACATAGACTTGTTATTCTTTAGAAATATAACCCAAACTTTGTGTTATTACTATTTTGTAACAGCATGCAAGACGACAGCATAGAAGCTTCTACTTCCATATCTCAGCTTTTAAGAGAGAGCTATTTAGCAGAAACTAGACATCCAGGAAACAATGAGAGGAGTCGAGCAGAACCTTCCTCCAACCCTTTCCATTTTGGCAGTCCTGGAGCTGCTGAAGGAGGAGGCCAAGATGACCTTCCAGATCTTTCAGCCTTTCTGAGCCAAGAAGAATTAGATGAAAGTGTCAATCTGGCAAGACTGGCCATCAATCATGATCCTTTGGAGAAATCAGATGAAGCTCAAGCTAGAAAACGTCTTTCTTCTGAGCAGATGAAACACTCACCTAAATCAAGTTCTGACCCTAACTTCTGCCAAGATAACTCTCGAAGTCCTTCCAGCTCTAAAGAGAGCCCCCAGGAGGCAAAAAGGCCACAGTATAGCTCAGAAACCCAGTCCAAAAAAGTATTTTTAAATAAAGCTGCCGATTTCATTGAAGAGCTGTCCTCCCTTTTCAAAGCCCATAGTTCCAAAAGGATTAGACCTCGTGCTTGCAAAAACCACAAGAGTAAATTGGAATCTCAAAACAAACTTATGCAGGAAAGCAGCTCCAGTGTCTCAGATCTATCAGAGAGAAGAGAAAGATCTTCTGTTCCCATCCCTATCCCTGCAGACACCAGGGACAATGAAGTGAATCATGCCCTTGAACAGCAGGAAGCTAAGAGGCGTGAGGCTGAGCAGGCTGCCAGTGAGGCAGCTGGTGGAGACACCACCCCAGGGTCTTCACCTTCATCTTTGTACTATGAAGAACCTCTGGGGCAACCTCCCCGGTTCACTCAAAAGTTACGGAGCAGAGAAGTTCCAGAAGGAACCAGAGTACAGTTGGATTGCATAGTGGTAGGAATTCCACCACCTCAAGTAAGGTAAAGACATCTCATTACTAATGTTTGGTAATTGCTTTCCATCTACCAGGATCATCCTAAGTTTATCATTTGAAGATACGATTTCAAAAATTATATACTACCTTGGGAAAAAAACAGAGTCTAAAGCAGCACTATTCAATAGAAAATATAATATTAGTCATATATGTAATTTTAAATTTTCTAGTAGCCACCTTTTTAAAAAGTAAAAAGAACTGGGTGAACTTAATTTTTAAAATATATATTATTTTCACCAATGTATTAAAAACACTATCATTTTGACATGTCACCAATACAAAAATTAATAATATTTTATAATCTCTTTGTCATACTAGGGTTTCAAAATTCAGTGTGAATTCTACACTTACAGCACATTTGGCTGTTAAATTTCCCTAGGAAATACTTAATCTGCATTTAGATTTCATAAAATTTTTAGCTGAAAAAGTAAATTGACACCCAAGTTGTTGTGAAATACTTAAAAATTTTGTAATTGCTTGAGTATCTGTTTTTAAATTTCAATTAATTGAAATTAAATATAATTTAAAATTTGGTTGCTAGGTTGCACCAGCTGTATTTAAAGTGTCCAACACCACATGTAACTAATCACTATGATACTCGACAGCACCGGTCTACAACCTGAAGCTTAAAAAAAGAAAGTATTTATGATTTATATTCAACGAATACAACCATTTCTCACCATCTCCTACTGCTACCACTCATTGATCCAACCCAGCATCATCTCCTGCAAAGCACATTGCAATAGTCATCTAACTGATCTACTTGGTTTCCACAATTCTCCCCTTCAATTTGAATTCTTTGCAGAGCAGCCGTATTTGAACTTTTTCAAAACCATGTCATCTGTCAGCAATGATGGTGTACAAAAACAAAGTGAAGTAGACAGAAAAGTAAATGGGCAAATTTAATACATTGTAATAAGTGCTGTGCTTAAGAGAGAGGACAGTGAACTTTGTGAGCACATTGACAAGGTGCCCAACCCAGAGAAAAGAAGAAATCAGATCCCAGGGCGATATCTTAGCTAAGAACTGAAGACACTGTAGGACTTGGCCCATTAAGTTAGTGAAGGGATGTGAGGATGGGAAGCAGCCCAAACAAAGAGAATATATACAAAGATCTGAAGGCAAACGGTCCATTCATGGGACAATGTATGTTTCAATAGAATATAGGTAACACTAAATTAACTACAAATCTAGAGTTCAGTTGCTCTTCAGTTTGTCCTTGGAGCAAATTGCTTCACTAGTTCTACTTCACTACTTCAGTTTCTTAGCATGCTATGTGGCTAAGGTTGTTATATAATAATAATAATAAATAATAATAATAATAGTAACTACCATTTATTGAATGTTTACTAAATGCCAAGCATATTTAATTATCACTTCAACCTATAAGATGGCTACTGTCATTATTCCTGTTTTACAGATGAGTAAACTGAGGCTTACAGAGGTTAACTAACTTTCTTGACTTTATATAGCTAGAAAGTGTCAGGATTGGGACCTGAACCAGATCTAGCTAACTCCAACGTATCAGATAATAAATATTATATTAAATCATTAAAGAAATCCTTTATTTTGAATACCTGAAGGTTTTTAAATTATAATAATACTTCTCATGACCATAAGTATCAGAACAGGCATATATTTACACCTTACTTGTGTTCTTTAAAAAAGAAAAAAAAATTAGTTGCAAAAAAAAGTGACTACTTTCTTTTCTATTTCCACTATAAATATAAAATTTTTGGAAGTTCTTCAACAGTACCATCACCTTTACTAAGTATTGTTTTTAACTAACATCTTTTGAGTGTCCATTATAGAGGCTGGTCCTGTTTTAAGGACTTAACATTCATGATATTATTAATCACCACTCTCCTGGGAAATAGATATCACCCATGTTTTATGATGAAGAACCCAAAGCTCAGAGAAGTTAAGCAATTTTTTCAAAGTCATACAACCGTTAAGAGATTAAGCCAGAATTTAAAAACCAGTTTATCTGATTCTAGGGCCAATGCTCATTCCATGTTGCCTCAAGATTAAACCCATCCTAAAATAAAGAGTTAGAGAAAGTTTCATTAAAATATAATATATGGTAATGGTCAATTAATCATAGGCCATTCTGATTTATACAGCACTTAATATTTCCCCTCATATTTAAATATATATAGAAACTCAAACTAGGCTAATGAAACAGTTGATTTAAAAATTAGAAAGATTTTAAATCAGTATACTAATTACATTTTCAAATAGTATTTTGTACCTTATTTCATCTATCTTTAACTGTTCTGTGTAGTTAATGCACAAATGAGAGAAATTTTCAGTAGGTTATCAATTACACTTTCCTATACTATTTCTTGTATCATTCACTGTTCTACAAAATTTAAATAGCCAAATATTTCTATTTAATGAATATATCATTATTTAATTAACTAATATCTTATTGGATATGGGTCCAAATTCTTAATATTACCATCTATACTAAGATGACAAATGTCTTTGTAGACAAATCTTTCAAACCAGTCAACACCTTCACGTTTTCAATTTATCTTTTTTAAGGTGTAATAGACTTCACACAAACAAGTAGCTCCCTCCATTAGTGACAACCTCAGGCTATGGGAACTATGGGGAAAAATACTTTGCTGTAGGTGATCCTTTTAGCCATCTCTTATTGCCCTCTCAAGGTGAATGTCTACTTGGCCACTTTAGACGTAAGTTTTGGATAGCACTCTGAAAGTTTGAGAAATAGGGAAGTTCCTAGGAAATCTTATTTGTGATACGAGTGAGGCTATTATATAAGGTAAAGGACAGGAATGAACTGAAATAAGTTTTGTTATAAAATCTTAAAACCAGAAAAGACTTAGATTACTTTTCCTCTCCATCTTCCCAGCACAAGGCCCAACAAATAGTAACCAAGAATGGCAAATAGTCTTAATCTCCATTATCGTCTCTGATTGATTGGTGGTGGCTAAAGCAGTGGAGTGTTAAAGAAGTCTAGGTCAATGGGAAGAGTACTGAAATCAGTTACATACATCTTTAAAGGAGGATAGAGAGGAGTAACAGATTATGGTTCACACATTTGCCATCCCTCTAGTAAATGTGTGAATGCATAAATGGATATATTTATAATACATATTTGACTTGCCTTACCAAAATCTCTAGTCCAGGGGACTTTGAACTAAAATTATTGTACTATCTTTTTAAGACTTTAAAATTATTTATTTTTGAGTTGGTAATATATTCATACAAAATTGAAAAGTCAGGAAAGGGTATACGGTGAAACAGGGTATAGGTGTCCTGTCTTGCACCTCATGTCCCTGTCTACCATAGGCCCTCTTCACCAACATTAATTTAAGAGATTTTTTTAAACCTAGGCTTTGACTCATGTCTTTGTAGAAATTAAATTAGTTATACCGTATTTTAAAAGACCAAATCATTATAGTTTTCAAGAGCAGGCTGAGTCTATAAACAACACTGAATTTAAACAACTCATCTCTAGTCAAAAAAGAAAAGCATTTATTTTCATGAGCTAAATCAGGTCTACATTTTCAGTAACTAGACAAGATTATGTTGTCAATATCTTTTAATATACATTTTTATTACATTTAAGGTAAAAGGGAGAGGGTAGAGAGAAATCTCTATTTGTATATGAAAGCACTTTATAACCAGAAGCCCTTTACCCATATTATCAAAAGCATGTTTAGAAATTGCTATAATGTTATTATAGTATACCTTTCACAATTGAACTTGTATTTAAAGAATTTAACAAAGTGGCAATCACCCATGTTTTTATTTTCAAATTCAGGGAAATCTCATTCGATTCCCCTTCATTTTACAATTTAAGAATAATCTTGAAGTCTTTAAAGTAAATTTGTAAAGTATCAAAATTAGGTCATTCTTAATTTCAAGCTCTAAATTCTTAAGAATCTGTTATGCTACTATGAACATAGACTTGTTATTCTTTAGAAATATAACCCAAACTTTGTGTTATTACTATTTTGTAACAGCATGCAAGACGACAGCATAGAAGCTTCTACTTCCATATCTCAGCTTTTAAGAGAGAGCTATTTAGCAGAAACTAGACATCCAGGAAACAATGAGAGGAGTCGAGCAGAACCTTCCTCCAACCCTTTCCATTTTGGCAGTCCTGGAGCTGCTGAAGGAGGAGGCCAAGATGACCTTCCAGATCTTTCAGCCTTTCTGAGCCAAGAAGAATTAGATGAAAGTGTCAATCTGGCAAGACTGGCCATCAATCATGATCCTTTGGAGAAATCAGATGAAGCTCAAGCTAGAAAACGTCTTTCTTCTGAGCAGATGAAACACTCACCTAAATCAAGTTCTGACCCTAACTTCTGCCAAGATAACTCTCGAAGTCCTTCCAGCTCTAAAGAGAGCCCCCAGGAGGCAAAAAGGCCACAGTATAGCTCAGAAACCCAGTCCAAAAAAGTATTTTTAAATAAAGCTGCCGATTTCATTGAAGAGCTGTCCTCCCTTTTCAAAGCCCATAGTTCCAAAAGGATTAGACCTCGTGCTTGCAAAAACCACAAGAGTAAATTGGAATCTCAAAACAAACTTATGCAGGAAAGCAGCTCCAGTGTCTCAGATCTATCAGAGAGAAGAGAAAGATCTTCTGTTCCCATCCCTATCCCTGCAGACACCAGGGACAATGAAGTGAATCATGCCCTTGAACAGCAGGAAGCTAAGAGGCGTGAGGCTGAGCAGGCTGCCAGTGAGGCAGCTGGTGGAGACACCACCCCAGGGTCTTCACCTTCATCTTTGTACTATGAAGAACCTCTGGGGCAACCTCCCCGGTTCACTCAAAAGTTACGGAGCAGAGAAGTTCCAGAAGGAACCAGAGTACAGTTGGATTGCATAGTGGTAGGAATTCCACCACCTCAAGTAAGGTAAAGACATCTCATTACTAATGTTTGGTAATTGCTTTCCATCTACCAGGATCATCCTAAGTTTATCATTTGAAGATACGATTTCAAAAATTATATACTACCTTGGGAAAAAAACAGAGTCTAAAGCAGCACTATTCAATAGAAAATATAATATTAGTCATATATGTAATTTTAAATTTTCTAGTAGCCACCTTTTTAAAAAGTAAAAAGAACTGGGTGAACTTAATTTTTAAAATATATATTATTTTCACCAATGTATTAAAAACACTATCATTTTGACATGTCACCAATACAAAAATTAATAATATTTTATAATCTCTTTGTCATACTAGGGTTTCAAAATTCAGTGTGAATTCTACACTTACAGCACATTTGGCTGTTAAATTTCCCTAGGAAATACTTAATCTGCATTTAGATTTCATAAAATTTTTAGCTGAAAAAGTAAATTGACACCCAAGTTGTTGTGAAATACTTAAAAATTTTGTAATTGCTTGAGTATCTGTTTTTAAATTTCAATTAATTGAAATTAAATATAATTTAAAATTTGGTTGCTAGGTTGCACCAGCTGTATTTAAAGTGTCCAACACCACATGTAACTAATCACTATGATACTCGACAGCACCGGTCTACAACCTGAAGCTTAAAAAAAGAAAGTATTTATGATTTATATTCAACGAATACCTGTGGCGCTTTTTCAATTTTACAGAAAGCCACATGATAGAATAAGGTTGTGGTTAAGTACAATTTAAAGATTCATTTTACATGTTATTGTGTATATTATAAACTTTTTGATATTAGCTTAATGAGCACTATTGTAATGCCCAAGTCCTTCCCTAATATGACTGTTGAATAGAGAAGATGTCCATTTTTTCTGTTCTTCAGCTGTTCTGTGAAGCAAATGAAGCTTAAGCTTCAGGACTCCTCATTTGCATGAGCTATACAATTTTGCGTTCTAATTCTATTAATTTTTTAAGGGGCCTTCCATGCTTATAAAGCTTCAGGCCCCACGAAACCTGGATCTGGCCTTAGTCCCAGGTTGGCATTTGCTACTTCTAATATTATAGTGTAATAATACATGAATAAACTGCTTGCAGTGTATTACTTTTATAGAGAATTAGTATTTAAAGACCTATAATAGTTCCTTTGCCTCCCTAACCACCTAATTACTGTTAGAATATGACTTCATTACTATTTAACATTTATTCTAGGTATGTAAGCAAGGCCTCATCTTTTTCTTACAGAATATTCACATTATAGGACAGTAATAGTATTAATAATAATATTTTTATTTCTATATGCATATTGATTTTGAAGGATTCTAGTCCAAAGACATAATTATATATTGAATTTTGGCTTTTCTAAGGCAGTATTAAATATTATTTCTACAATGGCATATATATTTTACTGTTTGGTATCCAAATGACCTCCTTGAGGGCGCAGGCTCTGTTGTTTTACCTTTGCATCTGAAGTAGCAAGCACAGCTTCTGGTCCATAATAGCCACTAAGAAACATTGAGTAAACTAATGCACAAAGAAACAGGAAGTTAAGAAACATATATTGGGTTTACATCAGGAATGAGACAATTGGCCTACCATGTGGCAAAGGGTTGGAACTGAACAGCACAAAGCAGTGGGTACCCTTCCACTCTAAGTGCCTGATGACACTTCCTGCAGCTCTGGTCATCATAGCACCATGAAGGATAACAGTCAGTGGCATCTGGCCAAGTCTAAGTAAGCTAGTAGGCATTCAAGTTACGGTGCACACACATCTTACTTAAATTAGTCTTTTCCAACCCACTAATTTCTAGACAGATTGGACCAAAAAGAAAATTAGACCAGATCATTCAGTATTCATTTTTCCTGTTTCTTAACCACAACAATCTGACATACAAAAGAATTCAATGCTCCCTTAAGAAAAATCAGCCAGGAAGAACTACATGATACTAATGCCCCAAAAAATGAAGTAATCCGGTGGTCCCTCAAAAACTACTAAAACTACTTGGTCAACCAATTAGAAAAAAAAAATGTAGAATTTTCCAGGTAGACTATTAGCCATCATTATTTTTCTAAGCACAGAATTTACACAACTCTAATCAGAAAGCAAACAGTTGTTTGGCTTTTACTATGTGCTTAGCACTGTGATCAATGCAATAGCAGAGTAATGTAAATATATGTCCCTGCCCTCAAGGAGCTTGCAATCCATTAAAAAATCATTCAGATTTTTATAGTACAAACCATAAGAATTATCAGTTTTCAGAGAAAGGGTAGAATGACTAGAAAGGTCAAAGAAGGCTTAAGGTTTTAGTTGAACTTTGAAGAGTGAGAAGGATTTAGGTAGAAATGTACCCATTTATTCATTCATTCATTCATTCAACAAATACCTATTGAGCTATTAAAGTGACTCACCAGGAGTACAAAACAATTGTGACCTCTTGGAGATCAAGGACATTGTTTTGAAACTAAAACTATTCTGAAAAGGTAGCTCATAGTCTAACAGAGCAGACAGACATGTGATCAAAAAAAACATTGCAATATTGTGTAATAAGAGCTATACGAGAAGAGTACATAGGACGCAATGGCAGCTCAGGGGAAGATGTGATTACTTTACCTGGACTGCAGATAAAGGAAGTGTTAACACAACAGGAGGTGCCTCTTTAGTTTAAGGAGACTCTACTTCTAAGTGTGGGTGAAAGAAGAAAGCAAGTGCAAAGGTCCAGAGACACGTGTTTTCAGGGAACTACAAGTACTTGCTTGGCAATGGAAGAACATGGGGTAAAAGATGAGGAAAGAGGAGAGAAAAGATTGAAGAAGTAAGTAGAGGGATGGGTTATTTAAGGCCAGATCAACTCAACATGTTTATATACAGGCAAAGACTCTAGAAAAGTAATAATACTTCTGATATGTATGACAGAGGGGAGACTGACTTACTAGAAAGGAGAGTAGAGCCAGGTGATTTTGAAGAGCTTTGAAAGCAAGACAGAATAGCTCAGACTTGGTTTCAAAACCAACTAGAAATCATTTAAGGTTGTGTATAGGGAAGTACCAGGGCCAAAGGGAACAATTAAGTAGAATTAGTCTAGTAGACCCAGAAGGAATGGATCCATGAGGCCTCTTAAGAAGCAGTGGAAGGTATCCCAGGTGTCGGATGCCTGATTAGACTTCAGTAGAGGCAGTGGGAAAGCAGAGAAAATATGTGAGTGAGCAATATTTAGAAGAAAAGAAGTGAAGCCAAAGTTGATGACTGACTAGATAGGAAGGATGAGTAAAAAAATTTGCTCCACAAGCTTGAAGCTGGGTACCTGAGAGAATGATGGGGTCACTGGTAAGGACTGGGAAAATACAAGAGGTGGCTGACCTATGAGGAGGTTGGATGATTTGAGTCTGAGGAGGTGGAGGGCCCATGGGCCATTGCAAATGCAGGACTGAAGGTCAAGTGAAAGGGCAGTGGAGCTGGAGACATCCCAAGGAATGACCCAGACAGGGCAAATCTGTCACAGTATCTCTGCAATGACAAAGGGGCTATTTATACAGGTAGCACTTCAAACTAACTTCTAGTAGTGCTAGACTGGAGTAGTGTTCTCCAGCCTTCTTTTAGCAGTGACTCCTCCTACTTTTCTCCCCACAGTAAATCTGTTCGATGTTACCCTAATACATATTTTACACACACATACACACACACACATTTTTTAAAGATAAAGTTAGTGCTTTGGGGATTGAAAAGGGTTAGGGTGGAAAGAGACTGCAACCCTACCTATCACTCCCTACTAAAACTGCTAAGGCATCTCCATAGAACCAAGGAGCACAGACTTTGATCAGAATATTCCTTTTAAAATGCATTAAAATAGTAATGAGACATTTGGTTTGCACCACTGCAGTCAACAATAAGTGTGTCCTTAATATTATGCATTATTTTTGCAAGAAAATGTAATGAGTACACCTGGCAACTGGGTTTAACCTTGTATCTGTGTGCTCCCATGTGTAATCGATATTTTATCCATGTACTTGTAACCCTAGTTTAGTAAATTGAAAAACCATTTTTTCACATATTCACTGATTTCCAAGTATCAAGTGTTTTGTTTTGTAGGGTGGGATCCAATGTCACTGAAGCTAGTGTTTTTAAATCTTGGACATAGCTTCACTGGAGGACTTATCTTAGAAATGAAATACATCTGTGCCTTACCCATGAATGAAAGAGTCCTCAGGAATTCACGCAAATGGCCAGGATCCCTTTCTGTATCTGACCCCAGATTCTTTTCTCAGGAATGTACAGCTGGATCACACTAAATATGTTTGCTTGTACACAACCTTCTGAAGCAGCACAAATTTACCTTTTATCAATGTCAGTGCCTGTGTTGGCCAAGTTTTGCTATTGCTACTTCAGGACATTTGCCTATGAGTGGTGTGCTGAGGAAATAAAAAGGAAATAAAATAGTGAAAAAAGACAAAGGATATTTAAAATGATATAGGGACATTAAAAATAGTATTATAAATAATTACATATGATACATAGTGTAATAAATATCATATATTACTCAAGTATGACAGGGCTTCTTCCTCTACTGTTTGGGAAAATCTAGAAAATTTCATTTATTCATTCATCCAACAAATATGAAGTGCCTGTTATGTGCCACGTATGGCTATAGACACCAAGGTTAAAGCAGCAAACAAGAAAAATTACCTGCTTCATGGAGCTTAGATTCTAGTGAGGAACACAGACAATAAACAAAAATTCCACAAATGATTACATAATTATAATTGTGATAAATGTTATAAAGGAGGGTGCATATAGCAAAGGAACCAAACCTTGTGAGTAAGTTGGGGAAGGTTTTCCTGAAAAGTGGTATTTAAACTAAAAAATGGAATATGACTAGGAATTAGCCCAGAAAAATGGGGCTTGTAGAAAACCATTGTACAGTGAGGGAATAGCAGATTTGAAGCCCTTGAGGCAGCAAGACAATTATTAACCTTAAGGAATTAAAGGAACTGATGTCACCAGAACAT